ATTAACTCCAGATTGTGGGTAGGGTAGATCACTTCATGCGGCTTTAGCTAACGGAAGCATAAGCGCTTACCCCACTATGTTGTGTCAGCACGCAGCCTTAACTATTTGGCTAACCATTAGTGTAGAATTCAAAGTTACCACTATTGTTAGGAAGTGTAAGGATAGGGGTTTGAGTGAGACAATACTTTACCTGCTAAAAAAATCTACTCACATTCATTGTCCCATTCGAATTTGACTCCTTTCTTGGCCAACTTTGTGAACATAAGGCTATGGGCGAGAAATCCTTAACAAAACACCAATAATAGCCAGCAAGACCAAGAAAATTTTGTATCTCGGTAACATTTCGTGGACACTCCAAATTTTCCATTGTTGCTACCGTCTGAGGATTAACAAGAATACCATATGTTGAGAGCCCGTGTCCCAAGAAAGACACTTGATTGAACCAGGATTAGCACTTGCTAAAATTGGTGTATAGTTGATCCTCCTTGAGTTTGCTTAGAACCCATCATAGGTGTTTGGCATGTTTGGTTTCACTCTTAGAGTAGACAAGAATGTTGTTGATAAATACTATCACAAACCTGCCGAGCTAGAGAGGAATAATCGGTCCATCATGTCCATGAAAGCAATTGAAGCATTTGTAAACCTGAACGACATCATAAGGAACTTATAACGACCAGATCAAGTCTTGAATGTAACCTTAGGAACATCAAATTTGATCTTCGGTTAATAAACATCAGACCTTAGATCGATTTTTGAGAATCGGGCTCCACAGTGTTGGTCGAAAAGATCATTAATTCAAGGCAAAGGATAACGGTTTTTAATCGTTACCTGTAATCGATGCACAACCTCACAATTCTGTCTTTCTTCTTCACAAATAGGACTGGAGCTCCCCATAATGAAGTGATAGGTTGGATGAGTCCCTTATCTATGAGTTCTTGCAACTGAGCCTTTAGTTCTCACAATTCTACATGAGCCATATGATAAGGTGATAAGAGGGATATGTATTGTACCTAGAAGTAGATCGAGGTGAACACTACTCCTTGATCTAGAGGTATCTCAGATATATCTTTGAGAAGGACGTCAGGAATGTATGTCTTCGAGTCGTATCAGATTGTTTTCTTCTACTATGACATGAGCTAAGAAGCCTTCACAGCTTTCTCTTAGTATTCGTTTTACGTTTATGGCAAATAATAATTTATGCTTTAGTTTCCTATGTTCGTCTGTGAAAGTGACCACAATCATGCTTATCCGTTCGAAAGTCATTGTCAACAATCCACCAAAACATAATTCTGATGTAGCCAATCCATCCTTAGGATCACGTCAAAGCCTACAATCTCTAATGGAATGAGATTAACTGGCATCATTTGGTTGGCAATTAGAATGGTGAATCATTTGGATTCCTATTGGACATAGCAGACTTTCCCTTGTGGCATTGCGATTCTCATGTCTTACCTGATAGGAGTACCTTGAGTTAGAGTCATTTGAATAAATAAGAGTGATATGGCTAAGTGGGCTACACCCAGAGCAATCAAAACTCCAGGACAATGGCCAAGAATTTTTAACGTACTCGTGATTACGTCGAGATTATTCTGAGCATCCTAGTAAGTGACATCGTTGACATGGTCATGAGTTTGCTATCCTCCTGCATGACCTTCTCATCTATTTCCACGATTTTGATTTCCTCGACCCTAATTGCCTCTATTAGCCTACCTGTCGAATGCATTGCTACCTAACGTTTCCTTGGTATTATAGTATTATCCATCTTCATACCACTATGAACCAGAATTATGGCACCGAGACATGACTACCTAGTACTGCCTTGTGTTTCCATTATAAGGAATCATACCGCTTGGACAATGGTTGACAGCTTTTGGATATTGAATAGTGTTGTACTTATAGTGTATAGTACCATTATAAGTTAGCTAGTGATAAGGGTCGGATCCTATAAGGTTGCTGGTAGGGAATTGCTTTGATGAGTTGATTCTATTGTTTATGATGACACTAGTTAGCCAGATATTCCTGCTAACCATAGGTGTAATAACTTGTACTTTCTTGCCTACACTCAATATACTGACGAGTGTTGCATCAGAAGTAATTCTAGGCATTGGTGTTGTTGGAACTGCCTTGAGGACGGAAACAGGAATTGTCGTTGGATTTACCCCACAAAAGGATTTTCTGGAATCCAATCCCCATTTAGAAGATATGGAATTATAGTCGCTTTTTTTGAAAGACAAGTTCTGTCGGTGACCAAAAAAAGATCGCTTCCCGATTTTTTCGTTGAGTCCTACTACCTTCAACACCAATATTGTCACTCAGGCCATTTTCAGAATTCTCGACAAGAAGTAAAGCCTCGTAGAATTCCTTGTATGTGGTACATAGTGTAGATGCTACCAAGGAGCGAAGTTGCTTGTGAGTCCCTTTCTTAAACTGGTGGAGTATTTTTGAAGGGTTGGTACTGATGGCTTGACAATAACGGACAGATCATTAGACTTCTGGTGGTACTTAGCTGCCAAAATCTGCCTGCTTCTTGTTCATGAACTCATCCCTCTTCTAGGTCTTGTACTAAAGAGGCAAGAACTTACTCACAAACTGTTGCTTCAATTTATCCTAGTCTTATCTTTTGTTTTCCGGGATTTGTTCCTTCTCATACCTCTGCCACGACTTTGCTAGTCCTTGTAGGAACTATGATGTTGTCATGATCCATTGATCAACTGGGGAAGTTTGCCTGCTTTTGCATGGTGCATAACATCTTCTCAACTACTTGGGGTCTTCATAAAAGCGATTCACTTGAAGACCAGAGGTAGTCTCCAAAACATTGTTTCGAGATTGGTGGAAAGTCGTCTGAATAGCATTAGCAATAGTCACTCTGAATTGGCCAAAATTAGGAAAAACTTGTGCGGTCTATGCTCGACGAGGAGGCATAATTCTGGCATTAAAGATCAAGAATTAAGAGTGTTTACAAGTGTGTGATGAATGCAAGACTGGCTGAACCTATGCTCTGATACCAAACTGACACACCCCGACCTGGAATGTCTACTTGGACACTTGAATCGAGTTGTGATGGTCGATACCTAGAAGGTGATGAAGCCATAAAGTGAAGGTGATGCGGAAAAGTTTGAATAAAATAAAATCTAAGGTAACTAAAGTAAGTGTGTGCAATGTGTGGGTCTCAGAGGTCCTTGAGATATGTTTCACCTAAATACAAAACCACTAAAGTAAATAAAAAAGACAAAAGTAATTTCACGTATTTGTACAAAACACGACAATTGGAGAAACTATATTAAAATAGTCAAATTTGGGAAAGCAGAAGGTAGATTTGGATTCTGCACATTGAGAAACCTAAGGAGGGACCCCAAGTTCTCCCACGTGCTAGTTGGGCAGCCAAAAGGTCGCCGACTATAGAACATTATACCTCCGAGTTACGTTACCGCCACATGCCGAGCTACAACTATATGAGTTCTTTGAAAACCTGAGAATGGCTGGAATTTGGGCAGATTTTCCATGGCTCATTCCAAGCTCAAATCTTGAAGTCAACAATTTATATATCAAATTGAAGCTTGGAACAACAGGAATACGATTATACTTATTGGGAGTTCAATTGGTGGCTAGAGGCGGTCTGAAAAAGGTCAATAATCTACAGTCTCACCGAAAAGCTGTGGGTTTTCCATTTCTTCATCTGCGCCAAGACACATCTATTTCACATCCAATAAACAAATCTTTATCTACACAACGAGAGGAAGAGAAAAATGGTTACCCGGAGGCTTATCTTGGCCGGGAATGGTAGAAAGTAACCGGAGAATTCTGAGTTTGAATTGGAAATCATGATCCCTCAGGTTTGGACTCTAGCTCGAGGTTTTTGTCCTTGTTTCTCAGTTTGGGAGAAGAGAAGAAACAAGGGATGTTGGTGACGATTGCCGGAGTGAGCGAGTTCGAGGTGGTGGTTGTTTCCCTTTTTCTATGTTTTCATAGGGAGGAGTGGGTTAGAGAGTGCTGAGAAAGAAAGAGAAAGATGAGGGAAGTCAGAGAGAGTGTCGGAATTGGAAAGGGTACACGGGCAATGTTGTGGGCCCCCACTTGGCACCACTCCAACCAAAGAAAATGACAATAAGATAATTTCAATAAATGTAAATGACCAATTTACCCTTGCTTGCGTTGTGTGTTTCGTAAAATCATAAGTTCAAATTTTGTTTTGCTTGCACCCACTTGGTCATAGTTATGAGAACTATGAGAATATATATGTGCGTGGGTCAAACAATAAGTCCATTAGGCACTAGCCTAATTAGGAACTAAAATAAACGGGTCCACTTGCCCATTTGTTAATAAGTCCAACAAGTAAGGCAATAATATCACAGTTTGTAGCCTGCAACATTAAGAGCTTGTTGTTATCTCGAAAAACAAGTTGTTGATTTATGAGTGTAAAATTATCATTTTGCCCTCCTGATTGTGAATTGTGTTTAAATAATTCGTTGCATATCAAATTTACGTCTTGTTTGCGCTCACGTGGTCGTAAGGACACGTACTCTCTAGAAAGACGAGAAAGAGATAGGTGAAAAGTATTTAGATATCCACGAAGAGTTTCCACTTAGCCCACCAAAAGAATTTTCGTAATATTTTGATATCAGGAAATAAAATACGATGTTTTGGACGGGTGTGACATTTTATATCTTGATTTTAGATTATAAATTTTATCTACACACATTAATTTGTGTATCTGTGGCATAGGTACCAACTTTATAAGCGTACAAGTTGGTTCTTTTACCTCAATAAGAGGTGAATTAGCAAAACCTAGCGTCATATCTAAACCAAATATGCATTAAAAGAATTAAACTTGGTATGTGATTTATGGTTTGTAACATGGTTTTCTTCTATTTTGGCAAGAATTTCTTCTGTTTAATTGATACACAATTTAATTTTCAAATTTAGGAACTTACTAGTTTTGATAAAATATAGGGAGGTCTTGTATAATAGGCTAGCAATGGAGAGCGGTTGGATGGACCTACCTTCGACGATGGTGAGGTGGCAGGGCTTGAGGGAGAGGATGTCGACCGAATCTTTGAGTTTGGGTCCTCGCACCTGATTAGGATTTCGTCACAATCGATGTCAATTTCGAACGGTGGCGATCGGAAATGGAGGAGCACGTCCCATCCATCCCACGGTCACAATAGAATAAAAACTTGGAAAGAGATCCTCTTTGCAATCCGCATCCCTTCCACCTGAGCTAATTGATCACAAAATTTGGACTATTGAAATTTGATTCAACGGTTAAAATTATTATAATTTTTAATAAAATCTTTTATTTATAATCGTTGAATCAAATTTTAAAAATTTAAATTTTGTGCTCAGTTGACTCAGATGAAAAGGAACATGAAAGTCGTGATGGGTGAGATGGGAATTAAATGATATGCTTGCCTATATCACACCAATCACCAATCACCAATCACTATAAATGAAAGGTGGGACCCGGTGGCACAAGGTACTTTACGCAGTGCAAGTGAAAAGGATGCAAAATGGAACTCAGGAGGGAGAGGCTACCTCGTGTGATAAGGAGAAATTGGTCAAATGACATGTCTCCACGTGGACTCCCAACAGCTTTCTCACGTCCAGGATCCTGTCCGTAGAGATGCCCTATGTATGCATATACAGTCTTATTACAATTACCAAACACATAAAAAAACTTTACAAAAATAATAATTAGAAGATCAAATTATTCCAACCCAAATTACTTACTTTGTTACACAAAGGCTGCTTATGTTGTCTAATTAAATTTACTTTTTTACATTTTTCATGAAAATATATTGTTTAGATTATGAAGACGTATGACATCATCTTCCGTTATAACATTTTGTTGAAATGTTTGTGATATTATATTTTGTCGAACAGTCTATCATTGTTTACCTAAATATAAAATAAACAAAAAATGTTTAAAAACAGGTGGATGCATTACATTGCAGATTTAAAACGAGGTTGTGTTTTATAATATTAGCAACCAACTAATATAACTTTGTGCATATATGCAAACTACCATATACCTAAAATGCAATGGCCAGCAGGTGATGAAATGCAATCAAGGTAGATTATGTATTTACAAGTCCAAAATACCTATTTACGTACCTTGAGAGTTACTTGTAACTCATCTGGTGTTTCGATGCTAATCTCTATTACGGTAGGCAAAACTGCAAGAATTAGTAAGCAATGGAGTTAAATAACATTAAGAGAGAACACGTACATAATCTCTATTTGAAAAATGAAAAGAATAGTGTATTTGCGTTTCTTAATTACTGTCAACTACTTGTATGCATACATACATACATACATACATACATCCATACATGCATGCATATATGTATATATACACACACAGCAAAGAACACCAACAAAATTAAAGTGATACTGTTAGACCAAAAACATACAAACAAAGAAAAAGAGTTACAGAAGAGATAACATATGGTATCAAATGAAGAGAAGAAATTGAAAGTAATAATACAAAGAAAAGGAAAAAAAAGGAGGAACCTTTCTCCTCCTTTTTCTTCTTGTCTCCCTTGGGTTTATGGGGCTTGGCCTTGCCAGTCTTGGGAGCCATTGTCCACCAAAACTAACTACTATACTGTGGCTGCTGCTGCTTTGTCTTCCTTCTAATTAATAACCTTAGCGATGCGATGATAACTATGACTTTGAAATTGAACGTATCGAACTGCAGTCTCTCTCTCTTGGAACCAAAACTCTTGAAAGAAAATGAAATCTCCGTCAGTCCGCCCACCCTTCAACTAATCAACCAGCAAAACCAAACAGAAATCCAAAGGGTTAGTGGCTCTAACGTACTTAGTTGAAAACCAGCTGGAAATTTGTATTTATGTTTTTCTCATATTTTTCTTTTTTAACAAATGAACAAGGATAGGATAGGATTGGATTGGGTTGTGTTGGATTTGAGGAGCTAGCTGAAAGAGGAGCTTTTACATGGCATGGCAGAGTGGGTGGGGATTGAAGAGCGTGAACAAGTACTGAAGTGGCATATTCTCCAGCGTAATTTAGTGATTTGATTAGAGAGTGCTGTGATGGGGACACAGAGAGTGAGTCTGTATGTTTGTCTCAGAGAGAGAGAGAGAGAGAGAGAGAGGAGAGAGAGAGAGAGAAGGATAGGATAAGGTAAGCAAAGCAGCGCCTTAGACACCCGCACACAGGGAGAACGTAAGGGTAAGCAATTAATTTCGGGCCTCTCGTTTTCCTTCTCCCTCATTTTATCACCTCATCACCTCTCTCTCTCTCTCTCTGTCTTCTTCCCCTTAGATTTGTTGGATTTTGTTGTACTTGTATTTTGAAACACGCAGTAGGATGTTCAAAGGCCCAAGACTAGTTTCCTAAGTCGGCAGAGATTTTTACATGTGGCAAAATATGAGACGGTATATCATATACTATTATACAAGTGGTTGCTCATTCGTTGATATAATGATATATAGCTTATGTGTCTGTGTTTTGGACATACTAAAAAACTCATCCTAAGTTGGACCTGTTGGATGAAATTTCAGACCAATTACTGTTTGACATATACATTAGTTAGTGATACTTTAGAGGTTACAAGTGATTGAGTTTTATGGTTAATCTAATAAATTTACAAATAGCTAATATCATTCTTATTCATGCATTTACTAATACTACTAAAAGAAGAAGAATCATTTTCAAAAGTCAAGAGAGACTAAAAAGTTGCTATAATAAATGTGTTTTCTTTTATCATTCTTATTTATCTAAGCTGAACTCCCTCAGAAAACTTGCTCGTTAATTACGAAAATGTAATATTTTCAACCAAACCGAATCGCCCATCATACAAATAAAGCTATAGAAGTAGAAACAATCAAAGAACTTTGCTAGGTGTGCACTCATAATAACAAAGTTAAAGCGAAGCCAAAAGAATGGAACCTAACAAAGAAAACGAAAATAAGAACACGATGACTAACAAGTGATAGAATGAAGTATATATTTATCTCTCAAAGATCGGCTGCACCTCCTCCCTTTTTATAACCTTTGGCTTTGTAACTTAATTCATATTCACAAAACATAGTATGAAATTCTAATAAAAGTATAACCCTAAGAAATGTAACAAATAGAAATGTACTTGTGACAGCCCGTCCTGGGAATTTCAAAAACGTACGCGTGAAAAGACGATTTTGCCCCTAGCGAGATTTTTCGTTGTGTGGTTGTTCTCTTGATTGGTGTGGCTGGTTGTGGACCACACACACACTCCCAAATCCCCCACACCCTTTCCCCCTATCCCTGCACCCTGTCCCGAGTCCCTTTCCCTTCCTCATTTTCCATACAACGTACGGACACACACCCAAACCCATCAAACCTTCACAGATAGAAGGAACAAAGTACATATTCATGCTCGTGAGGCTCGTGGGAGTCCAACCATACCCATTTCAGGTAAGGTTACCTTCGTTTTCACGTCGAACTCGTGATGTCCGATTTGAGGTACTGTTCATGCACACGTGATTTCTCACGTTTTAGGGAATTTCAAGCTTGTAGGAAGCTTGGTGAGGTCCCTAGGAGGCTCAGGGTGGTTCGTTTGAAGGTTTTGGACGTCGGGATTGTGAGTTTCGAAGTTGGCCGGAAATGGTGGAGTTTTTCAGGTGAGATTTCGTGGATTTTAGCACTTGAAAGTGGTATGATTGTGTTCCTTGTGTTGTAAGCTTTAATTTGGTACGAATTTTGTGAAATTTGGTTGAAAAACGAAGAAGACAGGACGATTTGAAATTTTCCCGATTTTCCGGCGCCGGAGGCTCGCCGTAGAAGACGACAGAATATTCTGTCAAATCTGACGGAATATTCCTGACGCCGTTGATGGTTACCGTTAGGGATAACGGAATATTCCTGACGGCGTCAACTGACGCCGTCAGCGTGCCAAGCACGTGCCGCGCGTGGCCGGCGCGTGTGGCCGTGCCTTGGCCTGCGCGTGGGGGCGCGTGTGACGGTGAAAAATTATTTTAAAAATATGTGGATGTTCCTGAGGTTGAGTAGATCACGATGGTGTATTCATACACCCCATTTGAGCAATGTATGAGAAGTTATTTCTAAAGTTTGGTTATGTGCTTTAAAATTAACGTTTTTATAGTTGTTTCGCATATAGGTGAGACGTATCCCGAGGACGAGCGTGGTCACTCGAGGCAAGGGGGTTACGACCCTTCTACTTATCAGTGAGTGGGCTTTTGGTTTTCCGTATATACCTATATACTTATACTTTTCCCAGAAATTGATTTTGAATCGTTTATTCGTTATATGCCATGCATTACATTGCCATTTGTTATGCATTATTAGTTATATATATATATATATATATATATATATATATATATGCATGTGTATTGGTGCCGCGGACGCACAGGTAAGTGTCAGGTGAGTATGACTTTATATTTACATTCAGTAGTGATTTTAGAGACTTAGTGAGCTCGTAACCTGCACCCCCGGTGTTAGTGCTCCCGCCCAGAGTAGGGCACAGTCCTTCACGTGATGTTCACCTCCCGCACCACACGCTCATCTTGGATCCAAGTTAGGTGCACAGTCCTGTCGTACAGACCACTTTAGGTGGTTCCGACTCGTAGGTGACCCGTGATTATTCGCCCAGCCTTCACGTGATCGTAGCACTAGAGCGTACTTATATTACACCCAGGCCTGTCGTACAAACCACTTTAGGTGGTTCCGACTCGTGTGAAGGTATAGTTAGTGAGATGGAGATTCGAGCTCTAGATTCAGCCGTACAGATCACGTTAGGTGACTCCGGCTGACAGTTACTTGTTATTGATTGATATTTCCTGAGCATTTGCATATTACTTCGAGGCATATTGCATGGCACGTTTTTCGAGCATGACTTATATATATATATTCTATTTTTCTAGGAAGTATACAGGTTTTACGGCGAGAGGTTAGAACTCATTTATTAAATTGGTTTTCGAAAAGCTTTGTTTTTGCCCACTCACGCTTTTGTTTTGCGCCCCTCCAAGTTCTAGTTGGCTAGCACGTTTGGTGGATTCCCTGAGGACTTTCTCGGCATATCTGACAGACCGTCACCAGTGTAGGACCACCTTCGGGTGTGCTTTTGTTGTGTCGTTCCTTTTGGACTGCTTTAGGCTTGTTTGCTCTGAACTTAGGATTTACACTCGTTGCACTTGTTTATTTTCACTTGGTGTAACGCTAGTTTTTAATTATTCGTACTATTTACATTATTATTATTCTATTAGCTTTCGCATTGTGCACATGGTTACGTCACTTCCACGTGACGGCCAGCATGCCTTGATCTTGATCGGGGTGTGTCAGTACTGTTCAAGGCTAGCCGTTGGGACAATAAAGATAAGACTTATAAATCAATATTGTAGTATAAATTTAGGGGTGTGATATCCACACACTCCTTTTTACTTCTCTCACATCTTTTGAGTTTTCGACTGTCAAATTAGATGAATTGAAGAAGATCAAATGACATAAATTAACAAGGGTTGTGTGAGAAGTAAAAAAAGGGTGTGTGGATAGCACACCCTTAAATTTAGTGACGGAGATTGACCAGAGAGAAGAGAAGGGAGAGAAGGATTTAAGGAATTTTGTATATGTCATTCCTCATGCCTTGTGCCTTTCTTTATACTAATAAGGGAGAGAAAAACTTGCTCTCTGAGTAATACAAGTTATACAAGGAAAGATCTTCTAGATCTAATTTACTAGAATTTACACAATCACACTCTTAATGAAATTGGACTGGAACACTCCCCTTGATTGTGTAAATACTCAAGTAAATGGTGTATCAGGTCTTAATGTGATTACATAGAAATATTTGATGAAGTTGTCTCGTTTAGTCGGCACAATAAGCAAATGTGAGTCTAAAAAATAAACAGAAGAATGCATAAGTAGTAAAACTCACAAAACTTGGCTAGGGTAAAATTCAAGATAGGACAAAAACCCATAGTTTAAGAAGAAACGTAGACCTGGCAATTTCTTACACGACCCATTAACACGACATGAAAATAACAGTTTTTGGATCAACACAATAACTAATTGAATCGTTATTAGGTCACACGATAAGAACCTGTTAATAATGGGTCCTTAACAAGTTTACACGCGAGTAACCCATTTCGACACGTTAAGAAAAAAGTTATTAAATCATTTTGAATTACTAAAAACACTTGCGCTCTAGGTGTAATAATGATTTACACTTTAGTACTACAATCACATGAAGATTGGTGCTATGCGCATCACATACGAGTCATAATTGCCTATAGCAATCTAAGACAAGACTAACACCTACAACAGATCCAAAGTGAGGGTATTGGTGTGATGTGAACATATACATGAAGGTTGGCCCTAGCCCGAGTGAGTACTAACACCAGTCTAGCATGCACAATAAGCAGTTAACATAAATATGATTATGCCATGGTAATTCGATAATTCTAGTCAATATAATACTATTCATGACCATAAATATAATTAAGGCATCCCATAATAGTACGCATACTTGTGCATCCCGTAGGATTTATGATAATTCATAAATTCTGTCAATACGCTAATTCTTATAGACTTCAGTTTAATCATGGTATAACATAAAAGATTCTTTTTTTATTATTATTATTGCCATGGTAATTCGATAATTCTAGTCAATATAATACTATTCATAGCCATAAATATAATTAAGGCATCCCATAATAGTACGCATACTTGTGCATCCCGTAGGATTTATGATAATTCATAAATTTTGTCAATACGCTAATTCTTATAGACTTTAGTTTAATCATGGTATAACGTAAAAGATTATTATTATTATTATTATTATTATTATTATTTGACACACCCCGACTGAGATCAGGGCATGCTGGCCGTCACGCGGAAGTGACGTAACCATGTGCATAGTGTGGAAGCTAATAAAATAATAATAAAAGTACGAATAAATAAAAACCAGCTATACACAACGTAAGAACATACATGTGCAAGCGTAAGTGTGAAAACAAAGTTCAGAGAACGAAGACCTAATGCAGTCCGGGAGAAACAACACTACATAAACACACCCAAAGGACGTCCTACACTGGTGATAATCTGTCAGATATGCCGGGAAATCCTCTGGGGAGCCACCAAAAGTGCTAGCCAACTAGAACCTGGAGGGACGCAAAACAGAAAGCGTAAGTGGGTAAAAAA